ACTAAATTTGTCACCTCCTCCAAAGGACGCATGAGCCTACAGGCATTGCGCATGAGCGTCCAGTAACGTGGCAAAAAAATTCCCAGCTCCCCAGAGGCTGTCCTAGCACCCCGGTCATACAAATATTCATTAACGGCTTTTTCTTGTTGGAGCAGGCGGTCGAACATTAAGAGTGTTGAATTCCAACGTGTCGGGCTGTCGCAAATCAAGCGCCTCACTGGCATGTTGTTTCGCCGCTGGATATCGGCAAAGTGAGCCATGGCCGTGTAGGAACGCCTGAAATGGCCACACACCTTCCTGGCCTGCTTCAGGACGCCCTGTAAGCCTGTGTACTTATGCACAAAGCGTTGTACGATCAGATTACACACATGTGCCATGCACGGCACATGCGACAACTTGCCCAACTTCAATGCCGCTAGCAAATTTGTTCCGTTGTCACAAACCACTTTGCCGATATCCAGTCGCTGCGGAGTCAGCCACTTTTCCACCTGTGCGCTCATGGCGGACAGGAGTGCTTGTCCGGTGTGACTCTCTGCTTTCAAGCAAGTCAAACCCAAGACGGCGTGACACTGCCGTATCCGGGATGTGGAATAGTACCTGGGGAGCTGGGGGGGTACCGTTGATGTGGAGCAAGACGCAGCAGCAGAAGAGGACTCAGCCGAGGAGGTTATGGAAGAGGATGGAGTAGGAGGAGTAGAGGAAGTGGCAGCAGGACTGCCTGCAAGTCGTGGCGGTGTCACCAACTCCTCTGCAGAGCCATGCATTCCATGCTTGGCAGCAGTCAGCAGGTTTACCCAATGCGCAGTGTAGGTGATATACCTGCCCTGACCATGCTTTGCACACCAGGTATCAGTGGTCAGATGGACCCTTGCCCCAACACTGTGTGCCAGAGATGCTATTACTTCCTTTTGCACAATTGAGTACAGGTTGGGGATTGCCTTTGCGAAAAGTAATTTCGGCCGGGTACCTTCCACTGCGGTGTCCCAATAGCTACAAATTTTTTGAACGCCTCAGACTCCACCAGCTTGTATGGTAAAAGCTGGCGGGCTAATAGTTCGGACAAGCCAGCAGTCAGACGCTGGGCAAAGGGGTGACTTTCTGACATTGTCTTCTTAAACAAACATGTCCTTGACAGACACATGACTGTGGGAAGATGAGCGTGAACTGCTCAAGAAGCGGGGCCGGAGTGGTAGGATGGTTGAGGGACAAGGAGGACAGCAGTGGTTGACGTGGCTGAAGATGCTGGACCAGGAGGAGGATGGTGGCTTTGAGTTTGTGTGCTGCTTGTACTCATGTGTTGATCCCATAGGCGTTTGTGATGTGCGATCATGTGCCTACGCAAAACAGTTGTACCTAGGTGGGTGTTGGACTTCCCACGACTCAGTTTCTTTTGGCACAGGTTGCAAATGGCATCGCTGTTGTCAGAGGCAGACACACAAAAAAAATTCCACACTGCTGAGCTCTGCAATGACGGCATTCTGGTGGTGGACACAGCATGCGTTGATTGGCGTGCTGTCGGGCTGACCCCGGGTGTAGATGCATGCTGTCTGACTGTGCCACTAGCTCCTTGCGACGACCTCCCCTGCTTCCAACTCGTCTCCTCCTCCTCCTCTCTGTCTCCCCATCTGAACTTTCCCCCTGTTCTTCTTCTCTTCTAGCGGGCACCCACGTGACATCCACGGACGC